CCGTGCCGCACAGACTATCGTCTTCACTCGAGGTTTTGTGGTGATCTCTTATGTTGTGGCACCATACGTGGCATATGGCTGGTCGACCAACGAGCTTTTGGTCAGAGGCCCAAGGGGACGCAGCGCAAATGTTCAGCCCAGCAAGCAGGTGCTCTTGCAGGCCTTAGATCTAAGACGTCACCTTGCCATACCCCTTACCATACCGAATTATACTATATTATACTGAGGTTTGTCACGCGACCTTGTCTTACTTCCTCCCACCAAAAGCTCTAAGATCTTTGCCTCTGTTGCTACGACCAAAAGCGCACCACACAACTTTTGATACAGGGTCGAGCAAGCATGAAGCATGCGTTCTTCAAACAGATTGGTCCTGAGTCCTGAGAGAAAAGAGAATGATGTTTGAATGATTCTTCTGGGATCTCTGGTAAGAAGGAAATCATAGGTAAGGAATGATTCTTCACAATGCAAGAGCACAGTCTCCATTGGAATCGTTCGCTTCAACTTGATTTCGCTTTGCGTTAATGATCCATTGACACCACACCACAATTGTAGCCCCTTTCCTCCTTCCCGTGGAGCAATCCACGCAATGTGCAAGAGACTGACCATCGGAGCAGCCAAGGTATGTTTCTACGCTGGGCCCTCAGGAAGGGTGTTCACCCTGTGGTGCAGCAAGTTGCAAGTGGTATTGTCCACCGCCTACTTCTGAGTCATTCTCACCTCTAGTTTGCTGTTGAATATATACCGTTTTAAAGTTGACAGGTGGGAAAAAAACGCTACCGTGGACAATTGTGAAGGAAGATTGAGCTAGTCATAGGTTGCATCCCATGTTTTGCTTTGCATACTTGCCTGGCAAGTCTTCCTTTGAGGTGATTTTTCTGGGGATGCTCGTTGAGCACCGTGCCACCTTGGTGTTTGGCCGTAGTACTTTCCAGCCAGCCGGGTACAAGGCCGCGTTTGTGACGCACATGCAATCAAAAGAGACTCTGGACCTTCAACCCCAATGAACACAAGAGGCAAAAGAGAAATGAATTGTATAAGATGATGGTGGCCTTGCTCAGGCACTGATCTCGGCTGATGATGGAGCGTCTGCTGCGGTGTCTCGTCCAGCCTTGTTTGCTTTGAGCTCGCACCCCGACACCGACCTAAGCCTCATCTGGTGCAAGCACCGATCATTCGTCGAGGTGGCATTTTCTTCGTTTCATGTGTGTTTCAAGTCGACGAATTGGCGGGTCGAATGCGAAAGTTCCAAGAAAGGGTGGGTAGTCCGCTCCAGGCCACCTGCCAAGCCAAGGCTTCTCGGGCAGATCCGTGCCTCTCTTCCCGCTATACTGCGGAGTCTGCCACTCAGAAAGCCGTGGAGTTGGTACAGGTGCTGCATGAAGTAGATTGAAGGTCCATTTCCTAAGGGAAACGGACAGGTCTTTACACAAGGAGGGAAAGTTACAGGGAAGAAAAATTGCCTACCGGTTCCTAATGGTTCCTAAAGGTCTACAGACCAAGAAAGACAGGAAAACCAAGAAGGAGAAGTTCTTGCTTCGTTGACAAGGACTGAGCTCACTGGAAGCAGAGAGCGCAAAAGGGTGCATGCTCTGAGGCCCCTCTCGCGCGGCACTGGTTCCGACACCGAGGCACGGTCATCTCAGGTCTTGAAACCAAGGTGACAAACCACACCATGCTGACATACTGCCATCAGCACACTCCGAAGTGTTGGTTGTTTTATTATCCCCCCTGAATGAGACACTATGAAATGTCGATCCTGTTCCCTTACAAAATGTTTTCCGACCATACATTTTATAGTCCCAGACTGGGGGTCCATCATAAAAACGAAGGTTTTGGAGCAGAGGATCAATACAATATATAAAGGGTCTGTTCCTTAAGAAGTGGAAGAAGTGGAACATATTTCAGTGGGTCAATACATTCCGTAAAACACCAATTTCTGGAGTAGACACAAGCCATGGATTGCCTATTTTGTGGTTCAACACATGTTGAATGTTTATGTTTGCTTATGTTTGAATATTTTTGTTTTTTTTTCATGAGTGTTCCTTCTGCCTGATGTGGGTTTGGCCATGGGTACCAGACAAAGACAAAGACAACAGCCGTCAGAAAGACATCAGACGACTTGCTGAAAAAAAGAGGGCCACATAGGGCCGCTGAGCGTGTTTGGAAGTGGGTCAATGCATTTTATATATATATATAAACAAAATTCCTTAATGTTTGAGTGTTTTCGCAGTGGGTCAATACATTCTATAAGCAGCGGGCTCCGCCATGCTGAATTTGGCGTGTAGCGTCCTGACATTCTATAAATCCAGCAGTTTAACATTTTATAGTGAATTTTAGGTGGTTTTACATTTTATACCACTAATTATTTATGAAATGAACATCCACAGCCAGCTCCTCATTCAAGAGGGATGTTTTATTTGTTTTCATCTCGATTGTCGTATGCTTGTGTGCCAGGATATGTCGACGCCTTTGCCAAGGGAACTGCAATCCTCCGCTTGGTTGGACAGATTGATGGGTCGCTTTCGCAGGATGACCCAGACTCTTTCAGCTCAACTTCAACTTCTTAGAAGCATGTTACCTTGCGCCAAATGCAGGTCTATGGCCAATGGCTTATTCATGCCCTTGGGACAACCTGCGATGCTATTCAATGGCCGAACGCAGTGTGGATTTGAACATCGTTTTTTCTAAGTTCCAAGGGCTCCTTTTCAGCTGCATGCTGTGCTATTAGAGTATGCATGCCGCTTTAATGTTGTGGAACCGATAATGATAATGCTTTGCAATCGAAGACAATTATGTTAAAACTCGAAGACAACGTCGTGAGATTGATGACGCTGTTGAAAGCAACACGCCCAACACCCCCACCCCACCCCAAGAATCACGTGGTCATGCGATGACAATACTGAGTGATCGATGACAACGTGACGTTATGACACCAATGACAACTGTGACACCGATGGCAATGTTGTGAGATCGGTCAGAATGTTGTGAGGTCGTTGAGAATGTTGTGATTGAGATGAGCAAAGCGAAATATCTTCTCAGTGGAACTGCGGCAAATACTCGTACAACAAGTGCTGTAAATACTTTTAGGACAACCTCCAAATTTTGACATGCGGTCGTATACGGACCATACGCAAACTACAGCGTCTCGGGAAATCAGTGAAGGCCGTAGGAAGCACTCGCGCAAGCTAGATTCTCATTCATTGAGAATTGTCCACAAACAAAAAGGGACCATATCATTTACTGATTTTTTTAGTGTCTTGGGTTTAGACCAGCATGAGGCTGGTATTGCTGTGGGAAAACATCCAAAGGAAGTGCTTCGACACTTCCGCTGCTACGTCCTGCTACGTCTCAGGTAGCGATGCCAGAGCGGGGGTGCCCTGACACGGCTAGCACGCGTGTGCGCAAAAACACACGCACACACACACAGACACTCACTCTCTTGACTCTCTTGAAAAAGGACGAATGAAAGAAGGCAAGGACCTTATTTACAAGGGCCCCTTTACCATTCCTTTTTCATCTTTTCCTATGCTCTCCAATCACTAAGCACACTGGTGAGGTGGAGAGGTTTGTGTGCTAATATGGTGGCGGACAGTCACCCCTATGCCGCCGTTTGAGTCGCAGATTTCGGAGGCCTCTGTTGGTCATTTTGTCTACCACGGCGCGCCGCAGCGCTGCACTGAGGGCCCCGTGAGCTCAATTTTCTCCATGCAATCACCGCAGAGGGGCCAAGAGCATCCAAGAGACATCGACAGCTTCGGCTTCATGACTGGCGCTAGCGGCTAGCGATATTTGGGAGCGTTCGATATTTGGGAACATGCAGCAGCTTCACGGGAGGTTTGTGACTGTGGGTGACTACTTGTAGCTTATGTCATGGGAAAGAGCCTTTTGAAAAGAGCTGGAAACGGTTTACGTTTGGTGTCCCAAGCGCCTCCGAAGCTTTGTCGGGTCATCTGGATGAAACCGACTGGAGCTCGTGGGTCGGATCCAGGTCCGTGACGAGCACCTCCTCAGTTCCTCGGGCCAGGTTCTCCGCGGACAAGGTGCAGCGAGGTGTCCAGGTGTTTGGAAGGTTGGCCATTCTTGGCGGCCCTAGCCATCACCATAACCCTCTCTCTCCTAGCCATCACTGGCAGTAGGTCTGGGGCAGAAAGGCAGAGGCACCGAAAGTACCTGACATACCTGAGGCATCCAAGTTGGAGGCCATCGCTAGTACTGTAGGTTGAAGGCCACTATAGATTAGGTTGGAGGCCAGTGCTTCAGTAGCTGAGGCATCCTGAGGCATCCTGAGGCCTTAGCAATTTTTTGACCACCTTGAGCCCCCCACAGTGGATTTGGCGCAGGACGGGGATTGGAGGCTTAGCCCCGCTCGGATCTGCACGGCCTGCAGGTCGCGCCTCCGGGAGCGGCGGTCCATGAAGCTCCCTACTTTGCAGATAAGGAGATGGAATTTTTGGAGCCCGGGGTGCTCAGCAATGGTGAGCAAAGCGAATCATGTGAATTTCAAGTCGTGTTCGCATATCATGTGTGCGAAGGACACCTATACTGACTTACACTTTGTGTCTTCGCGGCAACTCATGTATTTGTGGCTCTGAAACGGGCCATTTGGCGACTTGACACCAGCCAGATGTGGGTGCATCAGTGGGTGCATCCATTTGTGTGAGCGGCGAGCGGTGCTCACCACCTTTGACTCTCTACCCAATCTTGATTGAGCGCTGATGATATTTCCAAGGATGGCTGTTTTGTGCAGAGCCGGCTCTATGTTTTGAATCCCTTTGCGGGCAAGTAAACCACATTCAGAGCAGAAAAAATGGGTTTCTCACCTGGCTCAACTGGATGGCATCCAGATATTTTTCAGTTGGCACACAGGTCGCACAGAAAGCTTCGATTCACCCTACCTGCCTCACATCCCCAATGATGATCACATCCCCAATTGCTTGTGTTCTTGCAATCTTTGCAAACTGGACCTGACTGTCGTCTCGTCATGGCGGTGCGTCGCAGCTATGCTGGCGTCTTACGCGGAACCTGCTTCGAGCGCCGCTATGTGCGACGTTGCATTGAACACGGAGACTGGGACCATTTGGGACTTTACAGTGCAAAACTATATAGATTCTAGAGACAGTCAAAGAATACGAAAAGACCGTATCAACCAAACGCAGTTTAGGCAGGCCTTTGAAGATGTAGCGCTGAGAGCTTTAGAATGCATCAGAACATTTGCAGTAGGGTGCCTTTTGTTGCGGCTGCTCGGCTGACAAGGAGTATTTCAACCCAGCTGGTTTTGCCCAAAGTTTCTGTAATCTCTCGTGCATCGCTACTAGTAACAAGTGCAAGTCGCTACTAGTAATATGTTTGGCAACTTGTCAATTTCTCCCACGGGTTTTAAGTTAGGCAATGACAATTGACAATAGCACACGAGGTACATTCCCTGCATGAGTTGAGTGAGGCTGATCAAGAGGCCGGCTCGTACAGCCTAGTGCTTTTTTGGCACTGGTGGGCGGGGTGCGAGAGGGTCGTGACAAGATTGATAGGCTACTAGGAGCAAGGACGCTACTAGGGGCTTTTGAATTGGAACTTCTCGGGATTTTCCCCGCTGCGTGACCTCTATCTAGTCTAGACATCTCTTCCTTTCTTTTTTCTTTTGTGTTTTTTCCTTTCCCATCCCTTTAAGTTGAGTACATACTAGACCATGGAGTCACTGCGTCTATGCAGAATCCCCTCATCGCAGCCGGGCTCAAGTGGCTCAAAGTCCGGCCGACGCGACGACGCCGGGCGGAAGGAAATCAGCCCGTCCAACCCTTTGGACGCCGCAGGTCCATATCCGATAGTGTGAGCTGCTTGGCATTTGACTTGTTGAGGATGCCTCTTCCATCTCCGGTTGGTTCTCCAAGAGTTCTTTTTCTTTCGGTTCCATTGTGATCAAGGGTGCGAAGTAATTTGCCACTAGCTCCCTTGTGCCCGCTGAATATGCATAGAGAGGCAGCTTGATGTGTGAATGAGTTTTGGGGGCCGCAGAAAGAGTTGGTCAAAGTGCTTAAGGGATGAATGGAGCATAATGGAGCCATGTTGGCCTTTGTTAAAGCATGTTGAAGCTGAGGTGAATTAAAGCAATGGAAGGTGGCTGGAGTGGGAGCATGCAATTTTCGCACGCAAGTTCGATGGCACATGTTTCTATACACGTTTGCTAGCGATCGTGCCTTGTGGTGGTATTTGTATGATGCAATGTCATTGTGATATTGCCAGCACGCATCACATCGTTGCCATTTGAGTTGTCAAACTTGCCATAACGAGACGCCGTTTGACAGGTTCCCAGACTGCGCAGACTCATCCAGCATGGTGTGGGATTTATGGCGTGGGCATCATCGGCAGTTTGGTGCTCTACGGCATTTTCCAGGCGAACCTTGTGGGTCTTGAGACCAAACTCGCAAATTACAAGGCCCTCATGTGCCCGATGCCAGGAAGGCATCATGACGGTGCCTTATGATGGAAGTCTTTTCAAATTCTCTGCAGCTTGGAGATGAAGAAAGCTGGTTTTCACAGTTGACGAGGAGCAACTTCGAACCCGTTGAGGGCCGGGTTTGGAGAGCGAATTCCTGACAAGACATTTCGGCCAAAGCACATGTCATATCGGTTCTTTCAAGACTTCGGCCAAGCGGTAAGCTTTTTATTTGCGCAGCTTGCTTGTGACTAGTGGCCTATTCATATTCAGTCTAACTGCAGCCCAGTGAACAAAATCAAAGCATGGAGGACACCAATGAACCAAGTCATCAAGGTATTAGAATTTTAGGTTAATGATGACTCAAGGTTCATTTCCCAGCCACCGCTGCATGCCACACCCAGGTTTTCCTTGTACTTTGCAATCGCCTTGCGGCAGTGATCTTTGCGGTAGTCATGGTTGCTTAGACGTTGGACGTTGGCCGATTCGAAGTGGAAGTAACAAAGGGCATCGCTACGAACGGGGCTCCTGGCCTTACTACTAGGAACAATGTTTGCTACTAGTAACAAGAAACTTATATAATTCCAGTCTTTGAAGTTACAGTAGATGAAAGGTCAAAGCAGACATTCCGTCACAAGGGAACTGCCCCACATATGCAACATACATACTGTAGATGAAACATCATACAAGCTGGAGGTGCAAGATTGCGTGTATGATGTTTGTGTGTGTGATACTCAGTGCAGAAATGACAAGTGTGGGGACAAAAGTTAGGAAAAAGAAACGAGCAGGCCTGCATAAGGCTTCCGCGAAAGGGAAACCTGCAATCATGAAACGACTACGAAAGGCCGGCGACAGGAGCCATGACAGATGAACCTTGTTGGACAACCCCCATTTGATGAGGCTGAATGAAGTATGATTTGTGTATTCCCTGACTTGCCACTGGCAGTATCTTTGATTATTTTTGTTGATGGGATCTCTGTTGCAACGCCTGCAAAGACGCAGACTCGCCAGTCAGACTCTCCAAGACTTCCTTGGCACTCATGAGCACGTAGTCTATAGCACATTAGTAGACATAGGTGGACTACTCCAATGATGGGATCGCTGAAAGGACGCTGGCAAGACGAGCTCAGGACAGCTCGACTCGACTAACTTGAAATTGACCCATGCACTGAGCTTTCAACATGTTCGAGAATCTTTGACTCTTTAGACCACATCCGGCAGAAATCTGCTTCGGCCTGACTAAGGCTAAAGCCAAGGGTGAGCGAATGGCCAATGAGGCAAGGGCGGGGCAGCAATTGAACACCTTACACTTGCCTGGCAGCAAAATAAATCAAACTAGCAGACTCTTGGCACAACGGCGATTCCTGGGCTCATCACGGCGATTCAGAAGCGTTCTCACCTGCCAGGGGTTAGTTCTCAGTCCCTGCCAGGACGGGAACGGCCAACCCAGATAAGATCCACCTTGATAATCAGCCTGTTGCATATGCGCAGAGGCCCCAATCTGGAAGTATCTCATTGTGTCCCTGTCCAACGTTTATGCCAGCAGCTGTCAATATGAGGCGTGGTTCCATGAGTGGATGCTACTACTGACAGTCATGTTCACATCCTGCTGCAACGGCTTCACCATCCCATGTCAGGCCCTGAAGTATGTGTCGTTTGCTGTTCAAATGTTGGGCAAGAGCTTCAAGATGATGCTTGGCAAGAGATGTAGCAGCAAGCTCCCCTTACTCTTAGGCAGTCGGCCGATCTTCTGTGAACCAATTGCTGATAGCTGCTTTGCCGAGGATGCCAGTGATGATTTGGGGCATCATCATTTCTCGAAAATCATACAGCATCTTGCCAATCACAGCCAATATGTGTGGATTCTAACTTGCGTTGCCAACAACGGGGGCGACACGTACACCCGGCCCGTTGCATGAACACCAAGCATTGACAACAATTGCTATGCCTTCAGCCCAAGGCATGCGCGATTGGATGGTGGCTTTGGCTGTCACACTGGGATGCACCGAGTTCCTGATGACAGGAAGCATGACTTTTGCTGTTTGACTTAGCGAGATCCCAGTAACGGTCCAAGCTCCAGGCTTCCAAGGCGATTATAGGTTGGAGGCCATCGCTATCAGGTTGGAGGCCATCGCTCTTATGTTGGAGGCCACTAGGTTGGAGGCCATGCCTGCTAAGTTCTCAATTTCTTTTGACTTTGTTGAGCATTCTTTTGCGGGTTGCTGAGCCGTTCTGTGCTTCCCTTCTTAGAGAGCATGGGTCTCATTTATATTTTTCATTGATAGTGTCCCCGAAGGCACTCACCAGCGAGTGATCAGCAGAAGCTTGTGCCACAGCTGTCCACACAAATTAGGAAAGACATAGAAAGACATATTCCTGTAGAAAGAGGGAGGGCGCTCTTGGTAGTTGACATGTTCAAGACCCAAACAAACCACTCTGGATTTCTGAGTTGTTTGAGAGGACCCACTCATTCCAAAGTGAACTCTGCAAACAGTATGAAGGCGGCAGCGGCATGGGTGGGGCAGCATCGATCCGCATGTGAAAAGCCATGTAGCACTCCAGTCACTCTCATCAATGCAGTCAGGGAACTACAAGCAAAGACGTATGTTATGTATATATATTCTTTTTGGGTTTCGTGCCCTTCACGAGGGCTTCATGCTGCTGGGCGGCTTCTTGGTCTTGGATGGGCTGACCTCCACCTTTCAAGAGAAGCTCTTCAAGGAGAAAAGTCTTCTCGAGCATGTGAGATGGTTGAGCAACTGCTGAAGGCTTCAGTTTTGGGCGGAGCTGTCGGAAGTGGATTTTTGCCAGAGAGCGCCAACGTTGCAGCTAGAGGCACAGGGGCGCCTGGGAAAGCCAGGAGCACAAGACCACCAAGTACAATCAGATGTTGTACATCAACCTGCTGTCGGCAACGGTTTCTGCTGTAACGCTTTTGGCTGCTCAGCCGGAAAGAGTTGATGACACTGGTCACTAGTCCCCTGTGACCAGTGGCTGTTTCTGACTGATGTCCAGGATTTTGTTTGGTACGTTTAGTATTCTTTGTTTTCTTTCTTGGTTTGGCTAGTGAAGCCGGCCATGCAGCTTTTGTTGAACTACCCCGTGTAGCAACTACTGAACTACTTGCGAGTTTGGCTGTATCAATCTCCCGAAGTTTCCAGTCCTTGCACCCTATTTTGTGCGTTTGTCGAGGCCACAGGTGATCTGATGCCAGCTATTTCCTTCGGCAACTGAACCTTGAAGGGGGGGTTCGGGTGGATCTCCCATCGGAAATGCAGCATTTTCCTCACGCTCTGGAGCGATCCTTTTGGCAGAGATGATGGGGCTCGACAGGAGATAGCTTCCCCACAGTTGAGAGCGAGGTACGGTTTGATGGAGAGGGAAAGTAGGTGCATCGGTAGGTGCGGCCAGCTAGGTTGCCACGTGCTGGGCCACCTGCATGCCAGCATGGCGGTTTGATTGGACGGTGTTTGGTTGGAGTCTGACGTGAAAGTTGTTTTTCTCTAGCGTTGCTTTGCTGTTGCAGTTTCCCAAACTGAGTGTTTGGTGCTCAATCTGTTTCAAGTGCCGGTGTGCAGATTACAAAGCTAGCTTTGATTTGAATTCACCTGTCCGTGGTTCAATTTGCAGCTGCCGATTCTGGCGGCTGTTGTGCCAACTTGCTAATTAGGTACCGCTGGCCTGCATTGATTGCTGTTCCTTGCGCAAATACTCGTTCGTACATTGTAACGACAAACACGTGAATGTGGAAACAAGGAGCAATGGCAATGCAGAGCCATTCCGTTCTTAGTCACAAACTAAAGCCCATCAAACACACCATGACACTTCCAAACCAGAACATGCTTAGTTTTCCAAGTAGCATCACTTGAAATGTGCGAAAGCGGTCCTTTTCTCGAACCTGGCAGGCCGGGAGGTAGGCAGGCAAGCAAGTACGCAAGCAAGATGTAGGTAGGTTGTAGGCAGGTAGTAGAGATAGGGAGAGACACGCAGGCACAGACTTGCCAACAGCTGGGTGACGATGGCAACCAATGGGCAGCAAACAGACAGATACAATATGATACAATCATGTGTACCAAAGTACCAACCCACAATTCTCGCAAGGTATGGAGCACCCCAAGTTCTTGCTCGACTCTGCCCTACTTAGCGGCTCTGCAGTTGCCAGTCAGCACCTTGCCACCAATGGGACAATGTGCGGGTCAAACAGCCGACGCAGTGATGCGTCAAACAGCAGACGCAGTTTTGTTCTTCTTGAATCCTGGAACCGCTTCTGGCTCACACCCCCGGTGAATATCTTTGGAGCTTCTGAAGCCTGACGACATATCCGGGCATTTCAAAATTTGGGTTGAGGAATTCATGTTGCCTTCACTGGTGATCATGCAGGTGGTGCATCTACTCGCAGATCAAGGAGTTTGGGGCCTTGGTTTTTGCCGCAACCATGAACGTCCGACAGGTGGTGTCCATCTTGATCTCTTACGCAACTCGGGCTGCACTTCTATTGCTCTCATACTGTTCAATTCACCTCTGCTGGGCCTGCAATTGGCACACAAGCCATGGTCAAATTTGCTCGAATCAGGTGAAATACCACAATCCAGTGACCGGCCTGCAGCCGCCTGGTTTGAAACCAATGACTCTGCCAGTTGTTCTTTGATCATTCAAGGGCAACCCAGTTGCAGAGACACGACGCTGCACGATGCATGCTTTCTATCCCTTGGCTCACTCACTTTGAAGCCAGGCTGACAATAGACTTTTCCACTTGTTCCAGTCTACTGCTGTTTGAAAGGATCCTGGGCCTTCTGATGATTTTTGCGGCTTTATTCTTCAAATCGACCCTTGGCTGCAGAAAAGCTGATGACCACGCACGCACTCCCTCAGAGCCCATGGTGGGGTCCTAAGGATTGCGGCGATTATGGACACTCCAAATGCGGAGAAGAAGCCTCTCACCAAAGACTTGAAGGTCGAGAAGGCAACCGAACCGCCAGCATCCACAGTCACCGGAGGCATAAGGCCGTGCGTCGAAGACGCTGAACTAGATGAGCATTTCTTATGGGATCTTATGGGATCCATATCGGTCTTATGTCGCATACCCCATCATAAATGCTAGACATTTCACTCCCATAGTGGTTCACTGCCCCAACCATCCCCAACCAGTGAACCGACTTCTGCAAGTCGGCAAGGCAGAGGATGCGCGAACAGATGGTGACAAGAAAGTCTGAGAATGCCTTAAATGTTGACACCCAGAAGTTGCGTGTTCTGAGCTTTGAGTGGGCCAAGCAGCAATTTCCAAAAATAGGAGGAGCACCAGCCATCTCGGTTTCTGTTTCTTGCACTTTGGTCGTGACATGATGAATTATGTATAAATGAAGCTGTTTGGCACACTGCTCCATTGGCATTGTTATGGCTGCTGTGGTCGCATGGTGCCAAAAGGGCCCATTCCAACATCGAATGAACCACACCAAGCCATGACTAGGCTTGCCGACATGGAGTTTCACTGGCAAGTGCAAATCACAACAGTGCACAGAATATTGTAGAGCGCACGCAATTTCTGAAAAGTCCGTGCAATTTCGTCTTGCTTCTAGTCGTTTTGCTTTATCTTTTCTCTCTGGAGGCGATCGTTCAGGATATCATTTCGGATCGCATCCGAAAGATCCAGGAGCCGGTGAGAAGGTTAGACATAGCGGACATGTTCGTCGTCATTTGCTTAGCCTCATCTAATTAGTACTAAATTGGATTCGATATGGTTCGATTCATTGGGTTGTGCCGTGATGTGCCGTGTCTTCATATGAGCAACAGCTTTGACGTGTGTAGCTTTTCAGTTCGCATTTTGGTTTTCCGAAGCCAGCGTGCCGTGCAGAGCAAGTCGGGAGATTCCTGAGAACGAGTCCACTTTGGAGCTTTGGAAACGAAAACGGCTGCGGACGAGTCCCAAATGCCAAACGTGTTGACTTTCCAATGACAACTAGGAGTCAAACATGTAGCCAGGTTTAACAATAAAAAATGAGCCCTCGCTCATTTGGCTGCCATTACCCTACTCTAGTGCCAATTGACCGTAGTGGCTCTTTGTGTCATCAATTGGATCAGAGGCTTTTTCTGTATTGGGATTCCCTCCCAAGACCTCACCAACACCAGGAGCTGACTGAAAAGATTGAGCAGCGAAACCAACAAAACGAGCGCAATGCAGAAAGGGAAGCCATAGAGGCTGAAGAGAAGGAGATGGCTTTAGCGGTACAACTGGCAGGTGCCAGGAATGCACGGAAGCTTTGGAACATAGCTGGTAATCCTACAGCTTAAAAGCTTTTCCCTTTGTAAAGACAGGGCATTGGCTTGTTCGTTGCGATCAGCCTTTGTGAATGGCCGATGGTCTCAGCACCAACTTCGATGCAGTCAGGAGCTGCAGATGGAAAAGCATCGCCAGGAGATGGGGGCACACCACGCTCAGTGTGCTGGACTGGCGCAACAAGCAAGTAGCATTGCAGCCTAGGAGCAAAGGACGCTAGTAGGGGCTCCTGGCATCGCTGCTAGGAGCAAGAAGCTACTAGGGGCTCCTGGCCTTACTAGGAGCAAGGACGCCACGAATAGCTTTTGCCTCCAACCTAATAGCGGCAGCCTCCACCCTAGTAGCGATGGCGTCTAACCTAATAGCATTGCAACCTCCTTTAAGATCTTCAAGCGCATGTGCTGCTTATCACTCCTGTGACTCCTGTGTGTAGCGCATCATCTCACACCATCTCCAGCAGGAGGCTGGACTAAGAATTAATCCTAATCAGATCTCATTTCAAATCCATTTGTGTAACAATAAGCACCGCTACTAGGAACAAGTGCATCGCTTCTAGTAACAAGTGCCTTACTAGTAGTAACAAGAAGCTATTAGAATCAAAGACCTGCTGTGCTCGATGTGCTAGTCATTTGGGTCCCGACTGCGCTTCGCTTCACAGGAGCGGCTCCGCCGGGCCAGTGAGGCCTTCAAGGTCTTTGCGCAACGGACGGACGCTGAGACGAAGAGCCAAAAGGCACAAGCGGCCCAGCTGGTGGCTGAACTGCGGCAGAAGGACAGACGCAGAAGGGAGGGCTCTTCAAGAGTCATGGAAGGCAGTTGTAATAGTGTGGCAAAATGCTGTTGGAGAACTATTTAGGTTATGAATATGGGCGCTGCCGAGCTTGCAGTTGATAAAAGTTGTGAAGGCGAGTCAATGCATGAAACAATAGTCAACTGGGCTTCTTTGGTTGGTTGTTTGGCTGCTTACCATCTTTAGATCTTGTCAGTGCTCCATGCAGGATGCCGAGGCCAAGGAGAAGGCTGCTGCCAAGGAGGCGCAAAGGATCTTGGTGCAAAGGCAGCGCCTGGCACACCACCGCCGCCTGCAGGAGGAAGCAGACCGTGCAGTAAGGGCAAGGCATCTAGGGAAGAGATTCAGTGCAAGACTTCGCAATTGCTGTGGTTTTGCGCCCTCTCGGAAGCCAACATAGAATGTGACACTGGTCCAATGGATGGATCAAGGCTCCTTGACACAGGCATGTTCTACTTCCATTCCCTATAAATTGCTTAATTTACACACACACATACTATAATACTATAACATGCAGATATGTATGCAAAAATATAAGAAACCGTTAGGGCGTGGTGCCATCATCCTACTGGACCGTCCTCGGTCAAAACATGTGGCCTCTTTTCCACAAACTCGCCTGAGCTCCAAGGTGCCTGCGTTGAGGCCGACAATCCATCCCTGCAAGACATGCCTACACACTGCTTTGAAACAAATATATGCACATCCTGTTTGGCTTTCTTCCTGGCAGATGGGTTCCATAGGTGACGAAAGGCACAAAACATCCAAGTTCAAGCAACTTGCGAAACAGTCCCTGCCCCTTCGGTTCTGCATAAACATTACCAGATAAACTTCAGTCATTCATCGTAAAGAATTGCAATGAGCGGAACATCGATCATGATTGAGCAGCCTGCATTGCGCCATCCCGCCAGGCGTGCACAGATCAAGGCCAATGCTGAGCGCCGAGCAGCTGCGCTGGCCGATGTGCCCGAGGTCTTGCCCCGTCCCAAGCGTCCGGCCACCGCCACAGGGGTGGGCCTTGGGGTGGGCCTTGATGGTGCTGCAATCGCACGACAACAAGGTGCAAATGTTCACAAACAACATTAGGTTTATGATGGGGATAGACAAATTGTGCCGTTTGGGGGGTTGTGCCTCTTCAGGCAGCCAGAATGACTTAGCATTTTTTTCTGGTTTGACTTTGGAACTCAGCGAGTCCTCGCTGGCCCATTGGTGTTTCCGGCCGGCCTGTCAGGCTTATCTCGATTTGCAGACAGCTTGGATTCGGCTCATGGATACTACCTGGGAACTTCCCGCCCGAAGTCTGCAAAGATGGTAGGCCTCGTGGTGTAGCGGGTGAAATGAAAAGAGGTGGATTGGTTGGTGCTATCAGAAGTCCGGTCCATAGTCATCAGTTTCAGGATGATAAATAACATGAGACGGCAACTAGAAGAATTATGTTCAATTCACCTTGCTCAGGCGAGTGCTTAGGCACTTTGAAACCAAACAACTTGGCCAAAATCACTGTCTGAATAAATTTGTTGTTTCTGCAGGCTTGAGACGCACACGCTCGGCCCCGCATTCCAGGCGCAGTGTTTGGAAAAAACAGCTGGCAAAGCCGCAGCTAGGAGTGTTGAACAGTATTGACTAAAGGAGTCCCCGCTAGTCATTGCTTGGGGCAGCTCCAACATTGAATCATTATGCCGGGCTTACGAGGTCACAATGTCCTGGGCTGCTGAATTTTAAAGAGCAGCACAGCCCTTTTTGATTGCACCCCGTTGGGCTTTAGGCCAAAGAGTGCTTGCATTGCATGTGGAGCACCCTGTTGCTGAGGCGCGTGTCGGACACCTGCAGGATTTTGATCACATCACCACTATACTACTAGCTTCTTATTACTAGTAGCGATGCACCTGTTACTACTAGCGAGGCACCTGTTGCTAGTAGAAAAAAAGAGTTATTCCATTATATTCCCATATTCCCTTTTCCTAACCCCTAAAATGTGAAGGGCACCTCATTGAGGCAAGGGAGTCAACTCTACCACAGCCATCCAAGCTTCAAAACCAGTGGTTTTGGTTGGGCAAAATGGACCTTAACATTGTGACCAATTTGCGGAATTTAATTTTTGCCCAGGGAGTACCTGAGTAGAGGTGCATCCTTGCTCCTAGTAGCGATGCCCTTTGTTAATAGCTTCTTGTTTCTAGTAGTAAGGCCAGGAGCGCCCCTAGTAGCGTCCTTGCTCCTAGTAGCGATGCCCTTTGCTACTAGTAGCTTCTTGTTACTACTAGT